TGTAAAGTTGGGTTCATTAATGGCAGTTGCAGACAAAACCTGTAAAGTTTGTTGATGGCCAAATTTGTAGGTTAACTTAGATGGACAATTTAATTTTTAATGTTCATATATGAAATTCTTTCAACTGGATTAAGGTCAAACTTATTGTTCTGCTGCAATACTTTTCTATTGTTTCTTTAAATTGGAATTTTAGATACCGGTGTTCTAAATAAACGTAATTTTATAAAATAATGTATGAAGCTCAACACATCTATTAGTTTTAATTCATTATTATTAAGCCATGCATACATACATACATAGTTGACATTTTTTCAACATGACTTGTTTGAGACTGAGAGTAATCTTATTGATGGAAAGTATAAATTCATCACACTGATAATTTTGATTGCTATTACGATCTGTTATACTTTGTTTTTATTGGTAAAAAAATGATAACTTCTTCATTTAAACAATTACAGTTCTCTCCGACATATCAAACCACTTAACTAAATAAATCTCAGGCTGACTAAACATTATCATTAAAACATTAATCTCTTAACACACCTTCAACATTCCTATAGTAAAACCAACTGGTTATTTGAACAAATCAATAAGTATTCCTCCCAAAATACCCACAGCTATCATTGATCTTGTTGATAAGTTACCATGGAAACTTGGAGTTAATTATCTTCTATTATAAGTTTGATTGATATGCTAAAGTGAGAATATTGTTTATTTAGTATAATTTCATGTAAGCAGGAATATTCCTGTCATGGCCATGCTCGGCAAATCAATGGTAATATAATAAATTCATTACACCATGGCATGATCTCTACCACCTCTATTATGTGGTATTTTCTAGGTCAGTAAGTTTACTGTAATTGTGTATAAATGATCTACCATTAATCAATCTACCACAAAAAAAAAAGTTTGCTGTCTGGTTTTATACTAGGGTCTGTAAATAACAAATTACATTCTATTGAACATTCACCTAAATAGTGTAAATGTCCTACGAAGTTGAAAAATAATTCTGTAATGAGTTTCACAGAAAGGAAATTGTCTGGTCAATTTAAATTTTCATGAGTACTTGTGCAGTGCCAGGGAGAGAAATTCACAGGACTTTGGCTTTTCTTTGAGATCCATATGATTTAGACACCCTTTTCGTGTCCACCCATTAAGTGTTCTCCTGAAAACGAGTCTTGAAAAATTCCCAAAATTCTTATAGAATCAGACCCAGATTAAAACAAGAGCATCGCTACCGCTGCAATATACGTCCACATTCCTGCTTTGATTGATATGGTACTTTTTAAAACTAGAAATGGGCGTGGCTCTGCCCCTGGGGGTCGGGCATGCACCAAAAACAATAGGGATCTTCCTTGGGGTATAAGGAATAAGTATACCAAGTTTGAAGAAAATCCAGTAAGAATTGCGCCCTGTAGGCGACACAAAGACACACGAAAAGAAAATGGGAAATGGGCGTGGCTCTGCCCCTGGGGGTTGGGCATGTACCCCAAACGATAGGGATGTTCCTTAGGGTACAAAGAATGTGTATGCAAGATTATAAGTTAAGAAATGTGGCCTGTAGACGACAAACAAACAAATACTAGAAATGGGCGTGGCTCTGCCCCTGGGGGTCGGGCATGCACCAAAAACAATAGGGATCTTCCTTGGGGTATAAGGAATAAGTATACCAAGTTTGAAGAAAATCCAGTAAGAATTGCGCCCTGTAGGCGACACAAAGACACACGAAAAGAAAATGGGCGTGGCTCTGCCCCTGGGGGTTGGGCATGCACCCCAAACGATAGGGATGTTCCTTAGGGTACAAAGAATGTGTATGCAAAGTTTCAAGATTATTAGTTAAGAAATGTGGCCTGTAGACGACAAACAAACAAATACTAGAAATGGGCGTGGCTCTGCCCCGGGGGGTCGGGCATGCACCAAAAACAATAGGGATCTTCCTTGGGGTATAAGGAATAAGTATACCAAGTTTGAAGAAAATCCATGAAGAATTGCGCCCTGTAGGCGAACCACAGACACACACACACACACACACACACACACACACACAGACAGGGGCGACGGCATAATACGTTCACATTATGAATGTGGACGTATAAAAATGAACAACCTAGGTATTGTACATGTACCATCACATGTACTGCCCACCCGTACCAATATACTTGTTCTAACCAAAATACTTGTTAATCTGGTTTTATCCACTGGCACCATCATAACCACACTTTCATCATGGACTATCACTATCCCTTACTAACTAAATATGTTCGGACTAAATTACTACAGTTAATTCTCTCAATAAAATAAGGTTAACATTTTAATTCACATAATTTGAAATTTTGTGTAAATGTCCGATTTTCTGAAGACTAGCACTAGAGGTACCAGGTACTCTACAATAATTTTTTTTATTAATAACAGGGAGTCGCGGTAGCTCAGTGAGAAAGACACTGGTTCACTAAACAGGAGGTCCAATGTGGTTTACCCTAGTCAGTAGTAACGTACAGGGGGATCACGGTGGCTAAGTGGGTAAGGCGCTGGCTCGCTAGCCTGGAGGTCGGGTGTTCGATCCCTGCATTGGCCGAGAAAGTTCATCCCGATTTTCCGGCGTGGTTCTCCCTTGTCAGTGATGCAGGACGGAGGGGCTGACAAGGACAGCTGTCTAGTCGTTCGGATGGGACGAAAAACCGAGGTCCCGTGTACTCATTGGCGTGCACGTAAAAGATCCCTTGACAGTTGGAATTCGATATAAGAGTAGGCCGTAGTGCCGCTGTCCGGGCAAAATTTCCCTCATAGCACACTGTATGGCGTATGCCCGTCTTCATTAGCCCAGTTCGGAGCAAAACAGTAGGACGTTAAACCCCATTTCATTTCAGTTACGTACAGTATGGATTGCCTGGCAAAGATCAACCAACATCCAGTTGATCAGATGGGACGAACATCTGAGATCCGATGTCACGTTAGCTGGCACGTAAAAGAACCATTGAAATTGAATGTTGGAATTCAATATAAATGTAGGGAATAGCGCTGCTGTACAGGTAAAATTGACCTTGTAGTACACTGTATAGCATTTGCCCGGCTTCATTAGCCCAGTTTGTGCAGACAGAACACAGATTGTTAAACCCCATTTCATATCTTTTCATTTTTTATCGATAATAGTTATAGCTGGTATTGAAATTAAACATAAGTCCAAACACGTTCTTGTTTCAATTCCTTTCAATACTATCTATAATAATAATATTCAATATCATCATTCAGCTCATCAAGCAGTTAACCACAATAATGTATGTGTACCGTAATAATAATAAGTCAACAGCTGATCATGCGATTATCAGCTTACTTGCTATATACATCAATACATCGCAACCATCTTTGACACAATAGCCACTATTCCTTAAGATCGTTGATAAAAGGTACTCAACAGAAGTACCGGTGTGGCAGTTTCAGATGGTCCCTGGTGTGTGATTACCGTTTGGCGCATGCGCAGTTGTAGGAGTCACCTCACACCGTTACAGACGCGGTGTGCATTGACTCCTTGTGATAGGATTTCCCCTAAGATGTTCTTAGGGTCAAATCAAAATATTATAGACTATTATCTACCGATATTTACTGTATTACCACTAAGAGAGGATGCAAATTGACGATCTTTATTATTATTATTATTTAGTATATATACCTGTCCACAATGCGAACATTCTCTCTTGTATTTGGGCTGTCTACGTGCATGTTTGAATGAATGGGATGGTGTAATAAATCTATATTTATGTTAAAGAAATCGGAATAAGAAATTCCATACTTTTATATTTGTGTTAAATGAAGCCACGAAATATCAAATGCCTTAATCTTCCTTTGGAGGTGAATTAATTGATAATTTCAAGCCAATCATCAATTTGTATGGTTTCCACTGATCATACGTGTGTAGAACGACTAATCACTAAAAAAAAAACAACGGCAACAAATCACGAACGAAGTATCAATTTCAAGCCAATCAACTTAGATCCGTTGATCGAGTAACTACTGATCACTAAAACAACAGCTAATCACGATAACAAGTATGTTTATTAATGACAAAACTCAAGTAGGCCTACATGATATTTTTTTTCCTGCACTGACCATTGGTCAGGAACCAACTCACACTGCAGGAAGTAGATATAGTTTCGTTGTTAAGGCAAACATCAGTTTCGGACATGCGCAAGTGCCCAGGAGAAAACACACACCAGGAGTCAACTCAAACTATCACACCGGTACTATCAATCAGGGATGGAATTACTCTTGTAAAAAAAAACATTCAAATTTGATAGGGATTATCTTCATCCCAATACTAACTATTTCAGACACGTCAATGAAAATTAGCGAAGAACCTGTGTAGAATGAGTACAAGCATTTTCTTAGGAAGAAAGGGGGGAGGGAGGACAATATACCATAAACTTAACAAGTGTGAATATAAAATTATATATACACTGCTCGTTTTTTGTTTCAATTGGAAGAATATAGGTTTTATAACTATCATGGGACATATCCATTTGTTGTACACAAATTATCAAGCCCTCAAAATGTCTGCAAGCTTTGATATAGGTACCTGGTACGGTATATCATAGACAACAAAACTCCTCCTTTTACCACAAAATCAAGAAATAATGAGAGATCATAATCGGAGATACATATATCTGAACATGAATCAAATGAAATTAACTGGGGCACTACGGGATACCCTTATTTTGAATTTGAAATGTTTACACAGGTTCTCGGCTTTTCATCCAATCCAAAGGACTAGACGCTGTTCTTTGTCAGATAATCTGTTCTGCACCAATGACAAAGAAATCCACACTGGAAAAGCCAGAGGAACTTTCTAGGTCAACACCGGGATGGAACTAAGGACCTCGATGTTAGCTCCCTGAATAATGTTAATATAACATTATCTGAGTTGGGAGAATAATATGACAGAAAAAACATCAGTTATATTGGTTCCAGAAATTGAATATAAATAATAAATTCACTAAGAGACTTACCCATATTTGTAATTTCACACGTTTATCTTGTCTAAATACTGTCTTTACTTTGAAGTCTATACCCACTGTACTAACAAAAGCAGATGTAAATGAGTCGTCTGCATATCTGAACAAAAATGATGTTTTTCCCACCGAACTGTTACCAATAATTAACAATTTGAACATATAATCAAAATTTTGGTCGGCTGCATCTTTCTGCCACTTGGAATCATTTGCTGAGGCCATCTGAAACAAGTAAAGAAATATCTTGATGAAATGCTTTAGCCAAAAAGCAAAATGGCTACCACACACGTCTTTAATATACTGACAACTGTATGGTGTGTGGGTTGACACTTGAGAATAATATGTAATTTACGCTAGACTGACTTTTAATTTGGTTGGTTTAAGATAAAAAAAAACACCCCAAAACAATGATTATTCATGCATTATACATACTTTACCTTATGTGACCAATAAAGTCAGACACAGATTTTAGCTGATACCGTTATTGAATTTATAGGTCATACGTAATATTTAGTATTTAATGGCGATCTAAGATATTTAAAATAAACCCGACCTCAGTCAAGATCAATCTACAGGGAATTCAAACAATGATATGAAAACAAACGAGGTAAAAAAAAATCAATTTACAGAAATAAAATAGCAGACAAAATGTGGATGTGAATATTTTATCAGAAGTTTATTTTACCTCACTATATGAGCCGAAACAAGTCTAAACCAGGCGAGTAATCAATAAAAACATGGCTAACTGGGAGATGTGGAAGTTACAGTGGGTAGAAATCAATACTTTATACTATAGACCAACATTTTTTTACCAAACACAAAATATCGAATAAACTCCGGTTTTTCTTACTGAAGTCTAGAGATCTTATATCTAGACAATCTTTAAGTTATAGTTGAGGTTAAACCACCAATATGTTAACATGTTAATAAATTAGGCAAAAGTAAAATTGGACATGTAGTACTTCATGACACTTCCTCGTTTATCTCTGTATTTAAATGTTTAATATCCAATCAAAATATAGATAACGTAACACTGATGACCAGTCAATAAATCTTACATGTATGTTGTAAGAATTGATTTTTACATCAAATATTTAATTCAATCAGCAAGCTTACTGAAAAGAAGAAAATCAATTCCAAACCTTATCAAGATGTTCTAATTGATTATTAGTTCCAAGTATAAACGATCAAAATAAACGTGTATCAAATAACAAACTGTTCCAATTTCTGTAAATGTCATCAGTAACAAATATGGCTGATGATATAAAGAGACATTTTAGTCAGCTTACCACAGGAGGATAGGTGCCGTTCTGTTGAAAACCATACATAATGAGTTGCGTGTAGCAGTACAGTACGGTAGTTGATGTAGTAGGAGTAGATCTAACCTGATTCTACCTATTGATTATTACTACACCAAGCTAATCAAGCAATAGATTCCAATCATGTAGGATACAATCCTTATATATGACCACAAGATGACAAAGCGTGACAACTGCACCACTCTTACAGACAGCTAAAAAATCTGTCACACAAATTAATGCTCTTTGATGTCTCTCGATGTAGTCACACCAATTAGTGATGCATCTATATGTAACTTGTTTAAATATTGATTAAGATCCCTTATTATTAACAGACCACATGTTCTTTTAAGATTTGGATTCTTTTTGTCTATAATACAAAATACTGGTCTATCTCATTCAATTTGTACATAAAGAGAGTACCATCATACATATATTCAGTTCATATAATGGAGCCACAAAAGATATATCCTGGTTTAACTGGTTGTTAAATCATCCAATGTCATCATTATTACAGTATTATCTTTCAAAATGGTTGAAATATGAATAATAATATCCTAGGCTATCTTGCCTGCCTGCTTTACAGCATCCATAAAACACAATCAATACATCAAAAACAATTTTACAATGAAACCATCATGTCCCAATTCTCACAGCAAAAACACATCAGACATACTGTTTATGGAATGGAATAAGTAGTAGGAGCTGCTATACTTTCAAATACATATAACTAATATCCTTACAGAACACTGCCAATAAAATGTCCTGACAAATGACAGCTGGTGTCTTGGAAATTATTCCATGTCTTTGTGGTAATGAAACTTGACAGCAGGAATAAAGGAAAGCGGAACACTGTGTATATAATATCCTTCGTGTATCATTAGTTTCGATAATCCCTAGTATTTATCCTGTCTGCTTGACCAACCTAATTCGCATCACATTCTATGACTTGAGCAAAAAGCTAAACAAGAACAGCTCATTAATATTCATGGCCTTTCCACTTTCCTTTGTGTGAAAATGAGTTTCAACAAGATGGTTTCTTCATGAACTTCAGAATCTCTCAGATGTCATGAAATAATCAATTCTAACATGAAAACTTCATTAGTCGTATAAATTAAAAAAACTAACAAAACATACAAGTTACAAAGAATCTCCACAATAAAATTATTAGTTGATTGTATGATATATTTATAGCAATTAATGAGGTATTTGTACTGTCGTCCAAGAAATCATTAGAAACTAAAAGCAACAAAAGATTGTTAATTATGTGTACATGTGTTCCCTAGCACAGCAATTATAATAGCTCTACTTATTAGGTAATATGCAGGTAACTAGCTAATATAATTAGAAACCAAATGTCCAGTCATAGTACATGTATAAGCAGATGGTTAGATATATAAAGCCTATTAAGAAATAAACAGAATTCAAGGTAAAACAACATCTGCTACACAACACCGAGTTATACTTATAAATTTACCTACATGACAGAAGGCTCATCAAAAACAAAAACAATTTTTCTATTCAATTACAGATAATATGAATTGAAAGAAATATTTATATGGTATATAATTTAGAATTAATTAAACAGAATTTTGGTATGCTCTATGTGGATTTTCAAGGCAGAGGAACTTCTTAAAATCCAAACTGCTGAGACCAGGTTATTTACCTAACTTAAATATGCATGTTAAAAGTTTTTAAGTGGTCACAGAGCGAGAGAGAGAGAGAGAGAGAGAGAGATGTGGTTTCACATCCATTTGACTAGGTCATTTCTTGATTAACATACAGTTTCATTTTTTTTAAATAATTTGCCAAGTCTGTTAGGATCTATAGCAGTGAGAGGAAACCGGAAGACACAGAGAAAACCCATGAGGTTGGACAGGCGACCCAATTCCTTGTAACGTACAAGCGGGGAGTTGAAATCATGCCACTTGACTCAATGAGAGAATTTATATCTAATTTGCATGCATTAAACCTTTCAACCACCAAGCCCCCCTTATGGCCATATTGGAGAACTGTTATTACAAAATGAAAGTCAATAAATAAATGATGTGAGCCCATCCTCTGTAAATTTTATTTTTTTTGAGTGTCTTATAATACCAAAATTGCCATGAGTCTATTTTGTTTAGTTTACCAATAACATTGTTTTTACCAGTTTCAATGGATGCAAAATAAGTTACAAATAGTTCAAGTTAATGAAAACACCACACAATCTAATTTTCTAATTTTGTTCAAGAGCAATTTATCACAATGGCACAATAATATGTTCAAAGTAATAAAACATTTGTTTATATTGGGACTTTATGTATTCAATCAACCATTAGCCATAGTGACTGATTTTAATAATTAATATCTAATTGTCAATAAACTCCGAACAGAAACAAATTTAATGTGATAGATGGACTGCCAAAATATTTACATGTATGTAAATCCAACATAAAACAAGACTGATGATAATTAATGTGTTCAAATTAAATTTCTCTGATAATGGGGGTGTCGCAACTAGATTAAAATGATACATTTTTATAAATTTTTATTGATGATCAAATCATGAGTAACAATACGGATAACTTGATTTTCTGAGGAAATGGTTAAAATTAGCAGCCATTTGCAGCATGTTAAAATATAATCCTCAACACAAGAGGTTGCAACGATACCGAAAAATAATATTGCGATATCTCACAATATTGGTAAAATAAATTATCACGATATCATGGATTATCGTCTTGAGCAAATTATTGTGATAATTAGAATTAACGTGCTTCAAAAATTCAAGATGCTCGTGATAATTATTGATATAAAATTGATATAACCTGAGGTGTATAAATGGATTAATGTATCTAGTGTATCCATTTGGTATTTAGCAATGTATGCATTGATGAAGTGAGACGTATACATGTTAGATTATTCCTGTAGGTATCGTCACCTCAGATCATTCTATTCTGATCAGCTGAAATGTCCGGAATACCAAATAAATATTCATTAAGTCAATATCTGGTTAACAGACTTGTCAGATGTTCTTTTTAAACTAAAATAACCCCAAATGAGTGACAGAAGAAATGCTCTTTTTTGTGTCAGCAGCAGTGTGTTTTTGCAGTCTACTGAACTGTCATCAGAAATATTCCGATTGACATTTACAGATTTAAGCTCAGAAGCCATTTTATTCAAAGAATAAATGAAATAATATCCAGACGATTTTTGAATCTAAAATATCAATGTAATTTTCAAAAGACTGGGTAATCAACGATAAATCACCTCTTTGTTACTACTTTGTTAGTTGGTACTTTGTGTTAAAAATGGCTGTCTCAAAGTCTGTTGTGGAATTTGGAAAATGGAATAGATCTAGTATCGGCACTTGTTACAATTTGATTTCTTCTTAATTTCTGTAGTATTTTGAACGGATTTAACATGAATTGTGATCAAAAATGAAAATATCGCGATATTATTTAGAATTATCGCGATTTATCATGATAAAGCAATATTTGAGATTTCAAGATGTTTGATCCAATAATCCATACTAATTAAAGTCCATGATTTCATATGTCATACACTAAAGTACAGGTATATAATAGCACAGGTTGTGTTATTTGTAATGAATTTACATGTAGCTTTAAATCTCTAATAAAATCTCATGTAATATACTGTATTGAGCAAAGAAAATACTTTTGTTCGATACCATTGTAGTCCAATGTTATGGGGTTTTTTTGGTACCTGTTTTGGCTTGGTTCCCGGTGAATTGGATTTGAGTAAAAACTAATCAGTTTTCGAACAATCACGGGTCATAATCCTGGAAGTCTCAAAAGGAACCAAGATCTTTGTGATATAAACATGAATTTAAAGTGTCATCAAAATCGGATCAAAATTATGACCTCTAGAGGGTCCACAACCTTGGTATCACATTTGTCTGGCATTTTCGGTCCAAATTTG